TAGATTTCTACGTTTTCCTATATCCGGGCTATGCCAATTGCCGGCAGCCAACTAGCAAATGACGGGCGGACGAATATCTCCATGAATGAGCGAGCATCTCATGGATTTCCACACAATTCGGGTTCACAAAAGATCAGTGAAGCAGTGTCCAGAAATCAAGGGTGGTATCATGTGATGCACGTATTGGATATTCTCTCTCTTTCTCTTTCTCTTCCTCTGATAGCTTATCCAATCCAACTTGTTGTCAATGTGTCGAAATATTTGTAGGTCGGATGCATTTACTGGTGGTTGATCGGATCTGTTCGCTGCGCGGTTTGGTGACGCGATGTCTCCTCTACTGGGGATGCAAAATTTGTAGGACAGATGCCAAGAACAGATCAACGGCCATCTGATCAACCACAGGCACTCCAACTTGTGACGTCGACTCAAATGTGGTAGTCTGATAAAACTGTACCTCCATTAAAACGTTGAGTTTTAAGGTTTCCCTTAGTGAACGAAGTCTTTTTTCGGTACGTTCGGTTTCGTCCTTTCTGTATAGTTGTGTATATTTTCACCCACTTTTTCGTGTCGCGTTTTTCACTTCGGAAGAAAGGTAAAATAGCTCTCCCATGAGAAAGATGCTTCAGGAGAGTTCTATCATAAAGCAAAACATGTAAATGGATCAAATAAAATTTCAAACCCATATAATGAGTGATCGCCCCCAGAGCTGAAAATCTAACCCGATTGTAGCCACGAGTAAGACAGTTGTCTAGATTGAGCTCTTTGTCTTGGAACTTTTAAACATCCTGTTAATCATAGTATGCTCGAAAAGGATTCAGTGACAAACATGGTTATATTCCACTTTCTTCACAGACTGCCGCCGAAATAAGCAACTTTCATGTGTGAGATGCAAGTGAGGTGTCGCTTTGCAAGGATACACCGATACAGCTTTGCCGCCCGTAGTTAGGTGCTGGTACGTCCAAGAGGCCTAGCCCGCACGCGATTGGTCAAAAGATCGGACCACTTCTCGGTCCAGCACCAAGACTAGCTCTGATTGGTCGAAAGCCCGAACCCAGCAGCCAATCATAAACCAACAATCACCGACTGGTGGTTGTCGGTAGCGCGTCCAGAAGGCATCAGAATTTCCAGAACGTTCTCGCCAAATACACTTTATAAACGAGGCACTGTAAATGTATTTTCTCCTGGTTTTGGGTGTTAATACACGCTGTGCACATTGATGGCTGTTTTGATGGGAACGCTAGCCTGAGAACAAAACCGAGAAAATACCATCATTACAGATAGTCAGTGGTCTGGTATTTGGAGAAAACCCAACAGAAGCCGAGCGGAAGAATATTCCGTAGGCTTGATCCGTTTAAGTTTAGTTTAGCCTCACGTTTTGGTATGCACGAATCATTTCAGTTGTTATACTTTACAGTGAAATGGAGGTGTTCGTTTACTGCTTCTTGAAAGCATGTCTCTCTAAGCCGTTGATGCGTTGAATCCAATGCGGACGGAGCTTTGCGTCCGAACAAGTAATTTTTGTGT